ACCCCACTATTATTTAAGTTTTTATAGAGGTTATATAAAAAACTGTTGAACCTCGCTTAATTAACAATACATTTTATAAAACAATTAAATAACGTACCTATACTGAAAAATTATATTAAGGTCTGGAAAACTAAGCACCAGTGCTCACAATCAAAACAAATAACAACGGAAGAAAATACTTTTGCAATGGATTTTCAAACAATGTCGTTTTTTGTTGATAGCATTGTTGATGAAACAAGGCGGTGTCTGGTTATACATTTTTTTTCTTCCACTTTCAAATATTGTTTTTAAAAAATTCTTAACTTTACTGGTTTTTGAGATATCGGTGGTGAACTTTTTACCCGCGGCCCCTAGCATTTAGACATTTTGAAAAAAATGTGATAAATTGTGTAGACTTTCAAATTTATGTAAAGTAATTTAATTTAATGGCTATATTTTTCTTATTCATTATTGTTTTTGTACCATCCCATCACTTGGGGCTTGTTGTGACAGTTTTTTCTTAATTATATATATTGAGATCCACTGATATATTTTTTTTTACCAATTAATGCTGGGTAGATTCTGCAACTATTCCTCTATCGAGTCAAGTGAAAATAATTCCATAAATAGTATTCATTATTTCACAGTTAATCATTTTATAGAAAAAGTTTGATGATACAACTAACCTCGAGGTTGTAACATCTAGCGGGGCAAGTAGTGACAACTAAAAAACGACAATAATACTTTTAATCTAAATTAACATTTGTCTAAAATAGGTGTAAGCGATTATTCCTGTAACACATCCTACATGTGCCTACAACTTACAAATTGTAAAATCTACCCAATCTGATTTATGTGTGTGTAATATTCACCACAAGTCATATTTAACTATTTATTTAGAAAATAAAGCTCTAGTAAAATCTAATCATAACTTACATTATTAATTGTTTTATTTATAGTGCACGAACGCGATCTTAGAAAATAGACAATGTATGTTTACTATTCCAAACTGTTTGGCAAACTTTTTCTAGAATTGGTCTCATTCGATTCAGAATGACTTAAAAGGTCGAGTAAAAAAAGAGCAAATCGGTTTTATTGGAAAAAACAAACTGTTCTTCAAGAAGTTCATTATGATTATTAACATCTTATACTTACAAACTGACTTCTTAGAATCTCAATCTTTAATTATTTTTTCATAATGAAGGTTTTATGATCATTTATAACAGTATATTATCTGCATGAGACATCAACTATCGTGACATTACTAATAATTGAATTAATTTACATAAACATAATCACTTTGCAAATTTATCTTTATGCATTTAATGTTCATACAATAATATTGAAGATTTGTTGAATAAATATATCTCATTTAAGACATGTCAAATATATTCTGAAGCTTTATGGGACATAGCGTTGTTTGGCTTATGCATTAATCGCGAAATTAAAACTTTATTGTTAGTGATATATAATGCAGAAAATGCATTTTGAAAGATATTATTATATATAAATGTATATATTTATGTGTGTGTGTATGGAGGAAATGTTTCTGAATGATATGCTCACACGTGCTACATCAGTAGTTTTTTTAATCAGTGTTTTATTTGAAAAACCGTACTTCAATATCGTTCCCAACTCAATTTGTCCAAAACGTCAGCTTGCATCGGGAAATTCTGTAATGCCTGTAATACACTTTTGTACCTGTTCGAACGTAAAACGATCAGAAAAACGAATCGCCTACATCTTGAAGTGTTATCAGTAAGTGCTCCTATGACCTAAATTCTCTCGGTCCAGGGAGAACCTCTCTCTTGTTGCCGATTTACCTATTTGTCTATCAGATAGCCTATATGAGAACTATTTGGCTAAATTTTTATCTATTTCTCATAGCATTTTATTTCTAAACTTGCTTGAAAAACCTAATCTTAAAACATATTTTAAAAGCTTAAATGATTTACTGTATAATATCTCGCTTAAGTCGAGGGTTATATTCTATCAAAGTATGTATAGGAAACAGCGCGGGTAAATTCTAACGCACAATGTGGTTAGAAAAAGATGAACAGAAAATTCACTATATATAAATTTCAGTAACTAATAAAAATGAAACCGAACATTTATCCCATATAAAAAAACTAGTGGTGTATGGTATAGTGCCTTAAGGCGAATTGCTGAAACTTCCCGTACCAAAAAGTCAAACTCCTTTTATAATCATAAAAAAATTGATCTTTGAGATTTTTAAAAATTTTTACCTTTTTATAAATTCTAATTCTTTATACTTTAATTCTTTATTTAGTCAATACAAACGAAATGTTTTTTGAATCATTGAAATTGGACGCTCTGTTCTCTTCAAAATTAAATTACCATCTTTGGCATTGTCACCTTATCGATAGGAACCGAATGTTTTTTGAATTATTCAAATTAGTTGACCCGTGTTCCCAAAATCGTCGATGAAAAATTGTATCCACACACACACCCACATTTTTTCTAGTTTATGCCAAAATGTTCAGAAACCTTTGAAACGTAAAGATATATAAAAAGTTTCATTTTCGATTTTTTGCGATTACTTTAACTTACCCTTCGGGGTAGTATATTATATAATATAATAATGTTATATAATATAATTTTAATTTAGTCTTATTCTTAAGTGCATTGTGCTTAAAATTGCTTGTCTTTTTACCAAAAAGGCTTCTAATTTTGTTTGCGATTTTTGGTGCGTTCTGTTAAAAGTTGTTGATAAATGTGTTAAGTGTCCATAACACCCCATATTGCCTTTAAACCCCTATCAGATTTTAAGCCAATCTGAAAAAACTGGTTTATAATTTTAGTCTCAATTAACAAACACCACTTCTTGCTCATTTAATTTTTATAGTTTTGCTTCCACATTGACCGCTTTTTTCAAGATTTTGCCTGAATTTCGGAGATTTTTTTCAGGGTGATATAAAAGAGAGCTAAGCCAAAACAACGTTACTGAATTTCACTGTATTATTTGTGCAAATTATAAAAAATAACGAGGATTTTTAAATTTTTTAAAATTGTAATATTTTGAGAATATGATTACTCTTGATAACTTTGAAACAATTTTAGCTAATTTAAATTAAATAACTATTGAAAAACTTATCATTTTCTCGACAGTATAGCATGTACAATGTTGTTTTTCGAATTTTAAAATGAACTATTCTTTCTTAAGGGGCTGTACAAGTGCATATCTAAAAAACGTACTTATGATAGACTGAAGAAATAGTCATAGTTAAAATAAAAAAACAATATATGTATTCAAACTTGATATATTCAGATGTTGCACTATATCGCTCATAGAAATCCAATGTTTCATTAATTATAAACTTCTGTATTGGTGCTTGAACCTCTTTCATATATTCGAATATTTGAATTCGAGATTGTGTGTGTTAGATCAGATTGTTAAATGTCGGCAAAGTTGAATGTCTATGCTGTCTATTCTTCATTCATTATTCAAAAGTGAAGTGACATCGCATAATGGTAAATGATCATTAATTTTCATTAACATGTATGAGAGAACACACGTAAATTTATATGTGTATACACAAGCAAATATACATACACACATACACAAATATATATAAATATATATGTATATATACATGTTTATTATATGTTATAAGTATATGGGCTGAGTATACTCGAACAGAGAAGGCTGAATTCAATTATTAAACGACATGGCTAAAGTCGCTTATCTTAAAGCGTAAGTTTGCCCACATCAGTACTCTATATAACTTAATCACGAATATGTGCCAAATTCACTCCCACACACACCTAAATATATATATATATATATATTTAGGTGTGTGTGGGAGTGAATTTGGCACATATTCGTGATTAAGTTATATAGATATATATATATATATATATATATATATATATATATATAATTTGGAAATATGAACAAACAACACTCTTTTTGCACTAATTTATTGAATAATAATTTTCACAAACGTTTCGAGACTAGGTTTGTCTCATCATCAGTGTGTTATAATTTAAAATTTGAAATATGGTAAACCTAAATTAGCATTATGTGTTATCCTGTGTACTATGGGTACGCATTTGTATATATATATATAATTACAATATATATATATATATATATATATATACTTATATATAAGTACGTATATATGTACATATATTTTTATTATAATAATTTAAAACAAATTTTATAAACAAACCGTCGCATTTCATAGATATTTTTTTTCTCCTAACGATATCTATTTTTCAACTGGACCCTAATCCTTTCTTTTCTATCTGATATTGCGTGACTAACCACTTGAAATTGAATAAAGAATTCGGACACCGACGATCGTTGGTAGGGCAGAAGACAGTATTTCGAACAACGTGTAATGGTTAACACATAATGCTAATTTAGGTTTCCATATTTTAAATTTTAAATTATAACACACTGATGATGAGACAAACCTAGTCTCGAAACGTTTCTGAAAATTATTATTTAATAAATAAGTGCAAAAAAGAGTGTTGTTTGTTCATATTTCCAAATTATATATATATATATATATATATATATATATATATACATATGTAAATACATATATAAACATATGTTAGCAAATGTGTGTCTATAGTTTGTTAATACGATGCCCTAAAATGGTCGAAATATTTTAAAACCTAACATATTTTCATCTAGTTGTCACTTTTATTTTTATTCCATCATAGCTTTCATGTGTTTTATTTTCTCGCGTAAATTGAAAACGTGTCTTTCTGGCAGGTGAAAAATAGCCAACTAGAAAAATAAAGAGATATATATTCTGCAATATTTTTATTTGTTTCACTATTCATTTATTGATTGTATATACTGTGACAACACAACAGTATCAATTTTCAATTTTATAATTAAAACAAGTTTTGTATGATTTATTTTCTCATGGAAAACAATTAAAATATATTATCAGATTTTATTTATTGAGTTGTTAATAGTTGCTTACTAATTTTATTTTCAAATGGACCAACTCCAACGAGCAATGTGCTGTTGATGTCATTTAAACCCCCGTAATGCTTTTGATCCAAAGCCGTTGGCTTGGAACGCTGGAGTATACACCTGGACTGCCGGCATCGCCACAACCGGCTCCCCAAGAAACTACTCCGTATTGGATACCTTTATACACAATAGGGCCTCCTGGCAAATTAATAAAATAATACATTTGCGATGCCAACATTCAGCCTTTTAATAATTACGAACTTTGCGATACTTCACTATTTCTCTATATTTACCTGAATCTCCTTGACAAGCGTCTTTCCCGCCCTGCCACACTAAGCCAGCACAAAACATTCTTGGTGTGATCTGGTTCCCATAGAGTTGATAACATTCGTTCAGAGATAAGTACGGCACTTTCACTGATTTTAGCATATCTTCCACCTCCATGGACTGAAATTGATTCGTAAACGATTGTAACTATCATGAAAAAATTAGAAAAAAATCACATACAGTTTAAATGTTATGAGCTTTTAAATTCAACTCAGAGTTTTAGCTGAAGTGTGGTCATTTTTCGTTATCAACTCAACTTAATCAATATTGCTGGAACAAATTGCTGGAACTTCCCGTACCAGAATTAAATATTCGAAAAAATCAATAATCAATGAATATTAATCAATGAATAATAAACATTGTTTTAAACATTTTCAAATAGATAATTATAATTACTATATATTTTATCGTTCATAAAATGTGACGATCTTATCGCTCAAAACACTTGAGAAAGTTTACATTAGCAAGAGAAGCCGAATAAATCCGTCTGAGGATATATTTCTTACGATTAGAATAACGCATTTGAAATATGTACATTTTTAAACTGAATTGTAAATTTGAAATTCATATTTGAAGTATAAGTTTTTATATATTCTTAAAAATTTTGAAATAACAAATTTTTTGAAAATTTTGAAATTTGCTTGAACCGTATAAGTAAATTTTAAAAATTAACAATTTGGTACGGAATTCAACAAAATTGAAGCAAAATTAGTACTAATTTTTAGAAAAATGATCAAAAATATCTGATAATTTGATGTGCATATGTCTAATGATCATTTTTGACCGTCAAATATCTTTTTTTTTACTATTTACTCTGTATCTCCAAAACCGCTAGATCTGCCTTACCAAAAATTACATCAATTTTTTATTTCGTCAATATAAGTAAAATGTTTTTGAATGATTCAAATCGGGTACTCCGTTCTCTCAAAAACTGAATTACCGTTTTTGCACTTTTTGTCTGCCCTTATCTCCGAAACGGCTGGACCTGTCTGCACCAAAAACTAATCGGCACGTCTCCTTATCAATAGAAATCGAATGTTTTTTTAATCATTCAAATCGGTTGATTCGTGCGCCCGAAATCGTGGATCATAAATTGTATCCAAACATACACACGCACACACACATACATCCATTTTTTCTAAGGTATGCCAAAATGTTCAGAAACCTTCAAAACGTGAAGATATGAGATATGCAAAAAATTTCATTTTCGATTTTCGGCCCATTACTATAACTACTCTACGCGAAGTTAAAACTGACCAGACTGATCTTCCAAAACCAATTCAGCACAATTCCCAACTGATATCTGAATTTTCAAAATCAGTTTCAATATTAGTGAGGATTTTTGGTAAAAACGTGAACGAAAAATTTTTCATCTTGCTGCTGATTCTAAAGAAACGTCTCGGCGTCAAAATTACTAACGCGAGTCCTCATCCAGTTTCATCAAATGGTTTGAGAAAACATCGATTACAAATGATTCAGAAATTTAAAAGCAACAAAACAATAAACTTTCTTTTGGCGAATTTAATCACATATTTTTTTATATATGCATTTTATTCGTTCTTCAATATTACCTCGGTTGTACCCCATCCAGCCACAGTTAGGTATGTCCCAGTCGATAATTGGTCACGTGCCTGGGCCAATGTAATCGGCTGTATTTTGGACGTGTATTTGAGAGGTGTCGAAAGTTTCATAATCGCAAAATCGTAGTCAATGGTATATGTATCATATGAAGGGTGCGTGTAGAAAAGTGACACTTTGTGAACCACTCCACCTTTGTAACTATACGAGCTTCCAGCTCGCACAGACAATTCGCTTGGCACCCGATCTCTGCAATGATAATTGAATAATTCATATAGAATATATATAATAAAAAAATTATAATAAAATAACAAGGTTCTGATATCTTGCTCGTTTTTTTATAAATAAAAATAAAATTGAAATAATTATTCTTATCATATAATTTATATATACTCCATGCAATGTGCCGCCGTAAGGATCCACATCGTATCAATAATAGAACCTCCACAAAAATGTTGCCCATATAACATAATCGACACCTGATATGGGAATTTGTCAATCGCGGAGTAGGAGCCTCCTATAATTCTTCCTTGCCTCCCATCGCCTGATTTTGCAACTTCAGAAAATTAAAATAACATCAAATTGATTTTTTGTTTGTTTTGAATTATTTAAATTAAAATATATATTTCATTACTTTACTTACGTGGGTTGCATAGTGATATATCTATGAAAAAAATAATTAGTGAGGCGACCAAATTAATTTTTTCGGACATTTTCAGTTATTAAAACACTTATAATTGAGAAATGTGAAGTAGAAAATACATCAGGCTGAAGTATTATATGGTTAATCTAATCTTTTTCAGCTGAAGCGTGATTCTCATTTTATGGTCGTGTTTTAAAAAATTATGTTTGAATTGCATGGATTATTTATCACTTGGAAAGATTATGATTGAGTGATATAATACAAAATATATTTGCCTGTTTTTGTATCGATATATGATAAAATTAATTTTATTCGAGTTCTGTATCAGGAGCATTATGGGAGCAAACATTTTTTACTCAAAAACCTTAAATTTATTATTCTGCACCTGCTTTTTTCGCAATAAAAATGATAAATCCAATATAACTTGTAATGAACAATATATTTTTATATGCAATAAGCTGTATGTTACAAATTATTTAAAAGATATCAATCCTAAATACTAAATTCAAAATCAGTCACACATATAAAGATAACATAAAATATCAATATTTCTATTTCTCTATTAAAATAAATAAATCTTTATTCTAATTTAAAAACATCTGGTCTAATAATTTTCAAAATGATTGAGTATATTTTGATTTATTAAAAAGGTACATTTGGTATTAAATTAGTTTTTACACAATGTAAGCACAACCTCATTTTTTTTGTAATAAAATGTAAAAATATTATCAAAGCTAGTGATAATTGTATACCTAAATTTACTTTAATATATATAGAGTTTTCTTTTAATGTGATCAATCAGTATCAGGGAACATCGAGGCACTTTAAAAGAAATAAATGTTTACTAAGCTGTAAGGTTTCAGATTCTTTCTTATAATATTGTCCTTTATATTTTTCTTTTATCACGATGAACTATGTATTTGTACAAAGCAATTATTAATTAATGATAAAGGTTTAAAGGTGTTTGTCCTGATAATTGATTATGTTCTCAAAATAATATGCAAATCCTGCTATAACTTTAAGAGTAGTGAAAAAGACATCTTTCAATTTTCGCTAACGTTTGGTGTACTGGCAAGGAAGAGTAGTTTTACCAATAAATTAAAAATACATCACACCTATGCAAACTCAACATGATGTGTTAAACATTTACATCATCGTTTGTTAATAAAATAACAAACTTAAAAATATTATTAAGTTTTATTCCTCGTTTTGGAAGTGCTGCCATGAACTTCTGCGATTTCCACCTCTGGTGGGGTGCCTTGTGCACTGGCTTCTTCTTCTGCCATTTTCAAACCAATGGTTGCACCTATTTTTGCACTGGCCTGTCTGAAGCTGTCGCTTAGTTTTACTTGGACAACATTAATACACATAGATGTTAAAGCCAATCCAAACACCAAGTATACTATACTTGCCATCATATAAATGGGATGCTGTGGTACAAAATCACCAAAACCGATGGTAGACATCGATATGAATACGAAATAGAACGATTCGAAAAATCCCCAGTCTTCCCATATGTAATAAATAGTAGCCCCTATGAAAATATAAACTAATAGTATAGAAATGGCGACTGATATTGGCAAATTAAATTCATCGTCTATTTCGAATGCGGACGGCGCCGGTGTTTGTGGCGTTTCTGCTCCTGCCGAGGGGGTTGTAAGGTAAGGGGTCTGTGGCATTCCACTGGGGGCGGATTGCGATAGGCGCATGCCACCAGAAGGCGTCAATTCTGGATCGGTCTTTGTCATATTGGGCCCGCTCGGTTGACTCGGACGCCTGAAATGTGCTAAGTCGTTGATCATGTTGAAACCCTTCATAACCTCCTGAAAGAAATGGATAAAGATTTAGAATAATTTCTTTCCATAAGTTATAAAATGATTTTATATAAAGACAATAAATTTCCGTCTGACCTGAACAGGCGCAGTTCGTCGAACTTTTCTACACGACCCCGTGTAATATAATCTTCGTACAAAGGCCCACACAAACTTAATGCATCTCGTGAACAATTTACCAAAATCTGCTAGCAGAATGAGAAACATGGGTATGCCAATTATAGCGTACGCAATAGTTATGGCCCTGCCGGTTGTGGTCACAGGTGAAATATGGCCGTACCCTGAAATCAGAATATTTAGTTTGAATTAAATTAACATAGGATTCTTCATATCAGTAGAAAAGACAGAAAATGATACAATATACTATTGAACTAAAATTTATTTATGAAAGATTAATTTAATTATCGGCGATTTTTATATAATTTAAATTGTATGTATTGTATTAAAAATGGTTATATTTTAAATATTATACTTATTTATATATATACATATATATATATATATATATATATATATTTATGAGTAAGTTCTTCAATTCATTCTTCATAACTTCATTGTTATTGTTGTTATAATTATAATACTTGTATCTATAGTTCTTTTTCGAATTTGTCATTTTTTCCTAGTTTATATTAATTTCTCAATGTTCATTCTGTAGATTCACTGATGATGACATAAAATCCTATGTCGAAACGTTTGGAAAAAATTAAAGATTAACTTCTAAATCTTTGAATTTTATTTGATGTATTGCCCTTGAAGAACTTACTCATATTTTTCAACACCAAAACTAACTTCTTTAACATATATATATGTATATATATATATATATATATATATAATTATATAATTTACGATCTTGATATGAACTAGAAAAACGTTTAAATATGAATTGTACATTATCCGAACTATTGAAAAGATATTGAAAATCTTTTATTGTCAACAACGAAGTTATACATGTGTTTATGAAAAATGTACAATTAATTAAATTTCTACTTTAATTTGCCTATTATTTTTGTTCAATTAATATTTGTTCATAAAACTAGATATTGCAATAATGCCACACACTTTTCGGAACTTAGAAATGCAGTTTCTTTTGGTTTCTGCAACTTGCTGAAACTCTGAAACGCTGCGCTCAAAATAATAACTAGCAGTATTTAAGTAAAAGGGTTAATAACTATATCACTGTGAGTGAAACAATACTTCTTATTTGCTCTGTTTCTTTGTTTTTAAGTATTCTTAACTTATAACTGATAAAAGTGAAGTAAATTCTGTTCTTTTGAGCACCTATGGTGGTAACGACGGTCAGGCAGTAAACGACCCCGTTGAGAAAAGCTCCATCCTCTCTGACCACTGTACGTCTTCATTCCGGCTTCGTGAGCAGTGTGCAGTTCTTCTTCGAAAGCTCGGAGCTTATGCCTCGCTTGCGATTTCCAATCTTCCTCCCTTAATCATATTAAATTTTTCCATTTACATTGGCAACAAACTTAATTAAATTGTACATTTACCTCATGTGCATACTAGTTTGCCACAACTGATCGATAAAATCTCGTTTTACCCTTTTCACACCACATTTGTAAAAGTTTTCAAATGCACCTTCTGTGAATTTGAATATCATGCCACCGCAACCACAAAATATCAACATAGCTATCATGTCCGATATACATTTGTTTGTTAAACATCGTATCCGCCTGCATTCGGAGCTATGCGTCAGTTTAAAATGTTTCCATAATATTCTACTATCTCTTATTAAAAGTATGTAGCTGGATTTTTCAGAATCTTTCTTTATAGGTTTAATTTGTTTTCCTGGCGATGTTTTTACTGCGTTAGTTGTTCTAATTTCGGCCTTAGTTTTTTCTGGTTTATTTTTTTTAATGATTGGTTCCATTATTGCAGGGGTTATATCGTCACTTTCACCAATTGAACAAGATTCGGTCGATGATTCGTAATTATCATTATAAACCATAGCTTTTTCTCCGGGCCTCGATATTTCTGTATTGTTATTTGTTATTTCTTTTGATTTTGTTTTAGCTTGTTTACTAGCATTCACGTTTCTTTTCT